AAACTTACTTCTACCATTATACTAGCTTTCAGGGCTCCTAATTCTTCTATGCCTTTTCGAAGCGTTCTCTTGACCTTCCTTTCTGACTGACGCCAAAACTGTCTAACGTCAATCTCACCGTTACCGGGTATCGACACCGTTTCGAAATTGCTTTGGGATTCCATCTATATAATAGGAAATATCTTATACCTAATTCCAGACCCTTTTCAGATCGTCGTAGTCATACTCACAATCCTGACAATGCCAAAACAATTTAACCTTAGTCTCAAACTTCTTACCACATCCACAATCATAGCTGCTCATACATTTCGACTTCATCTTCAAATGCTTCTTTAAGTCCACTTCTTTCTTAAAAGTTCTCTTACATTCTTCGCACTCCATATATAGACTAACATATTTAACTACATAAACACGGGATGCGGGTAATTGCGGTACGAATCAAAGGGGGTACTTTAGACGGGTAATCCTCCGGTTGTCGTTGCGCTGGAACCCCCATCCCCTATACTACTGGGAGAAACTCATCCAAAGCGTGCGCAAGGCTATGAAGGGCGTCCTCGGCGACCCGAACTCAACCATTGGTTGGGAAACGCTTCGTACGGTGTTTGCTGAAGTCACCGCCATCCTGAATAGCCACCCACTTTGCCCTTGCAGTGACGATCCAGGAAGATGGACAGTTTATGTCAAATATCTTCTTAAGGCCAAAGAAAGACGGATCTTACCGAATGATCCTAAACCTTAAAATGCTGAACAATTTTGTTGTCTTCCATCATTTTAAAATGGATTCAATCCATACCTGTGCCCAGTTAATGCGCCCAGGGTGCTTTATGGCCTTAATTGACTTTTGGGATGCTTACTTCTCTGTACCAATTCATAAAGAACACCAAAAAATTTCGTTGGGAAAACAAATTATATCAGTTTACCTGTTTGGCCCAGGGTCTATCATTTGCTCCCCGCCTATTTACAAAAATTTTSAAATCAGTTTTCTCAAAACTCAGAGAAATGGGGCACATATCAAGTGGTTACCTTGATGACTCATTCTTAGTTGGCTATTCTTTTGACGAATGCCAGACCAACATTAGAGATACCCTAGCTTTGTTGAAAGATTTGGGTTTCTTACCCCAAGAAGAGAAATCAGTGACAACACCAACCCAGGAAATTCATCACCTGGGTTTTGTCCTACACTCTATAGATATGACTGTATCYATATCTGGGGACAAATATAAGAAGCTTCAGGGGGTGTCCCAGGAGGTATTAGACAAGGCCACACTCACCATAAGGGAAGTTGCTCAGCTTATTGGTATGATGGTTTCCTCCCTTCCAGGGTTTGATTACGGGGAACTCTACTTTCGCCAACTAGAAATCGAGAAAGCAATAGCCTTAAAGGCCAATTATGGGAAGTTTGACTAACCCATGCAGCTCTGATCAAGCAAGGTGTGAYGTTAACTGGTGGATATCTAAGTCTCTTTCTTTCAAAAGGAAAATTTACAGGGTGAACATTGACCACACCTTGCATACTGATGCCTCGACTCAGGGCTGGGGCGCAAGTCTAAATGATAATACCACAGGGGGAAGATGGTCTGAATCAGAAAGCTTAAACCACATCAACTTCCTTGAACTGAAAGCAGTTTACCTGGGGTTGCAAGCTTTGTGTGGTGAAATGGAAAGCACCAATATCAAAGTGTTGACTGACAACACCACTACTGTGGCATACATTCTATCAGTCATCTACAGACCAGGGATTACACAAGATAACTATGCATGTGCACGGCTGGTAATTTTTAAAGACAGAGTGGAATCCCTGTGTACCATGTTATTCAAGAAGGCGATCTTGTTCTCACTGTCCGTCTCCATGGTACAACGGATGGTGGGCTGCTGGCTGTTAAGACGTAGTAACAGGATGTCTGTGTTGTCTTCATCTGTTGATACGCGTGCAGAAAACCAAACAACAAAATCCATCAACAAATAATCCAACCACCCATCTAACCAATCTCGTACCCAGAGCCCTTATTTCTTACTGCACACGCTCGACGAAATAATTGGGCTCTGGAAAACTTAATTTAGCACAATGCTGGAATGCAGCATGGAATGAGAAGTTATCAGAGATACTCGAAGTTCCGAGGTGCATCGCTCACAACAGAGAACCTATCCAAGCCATTGATCTACACGGTTTCGGAGACACTAGCAGTAACGGAACGTCAGCAGCTGTGTATGTAGTTATCGAACAAGAGTTGGGAACTAGTCAGGCTTTGTTGACAGCAAAAAGTTGGCTAGCAAAGAAGGGATTGACGATTGCTAGACTTGAATTCGTAGCTGGTCAAATGGTTGCTAGGCTGACAGAGAATGTACACATTGCATTACAAGGAATGCCAATTAGAAACTGTCATGGATGGCTTGATAGTACAGTTACATTGTACTGGATCAACGGTCAAGGTAGTTACAAGCAGTTCTTAAGTAACCGCGTAGAGGATATCAGGAAAAAGAGCTACATCACTTGGAGACATGTCAATAGAGAAGAAAATCCAGCTGATGTCGGGAGTCGTGGTTGCTATGGGAACAAGTTACCTCAAGAGTGTCTCAATGGTCCCGCTTGGTTGGCCTAACCAGAAAAATTTCGTTCTTGGTTCGTGAATAACGCGAGAGCAAACACGAGAAACAGACAGAAAGAAGTGTTAACAACGAGAGAATTCCCATCAATGGTGCAATGGTGGGTGAAGCGCATTCAGCAGCATCATTTGGAATCCGACCAAATGAAAAAAGACAGGCAAGGGCTAAACCTACAGGAGAATAAGGAAGGCTTGTTCGAGTGCAGAGGACGAATAGAGGGACATTACCCGATCTATGTACCACCCAATAACCTGCTGGCAGAGAAGCTAGCCGAGAAGCTGGCCATGGACGCGCACACAAGTGTCTTGCATTGGGGAGTAGGAATAACCATGGCAACCGTGAGGGAGAAGTTATGGATACCAAAGCTTAGATACCTGGCCAAACGGCTGATCAAGTGCTGTTATGGGTGCAAGGTTCCGAGCCACGCCTTTTCCAAATCGTCCATAACATGTGGGTCKCTACTGTTCCAAGTAGTTGGAATTGATTACGCTGCACCAATTGTATAAGTCACACAACGGTAAGGAAGCCAAGTGTGACTGATGTCACGCAACACAGTCACTGGTTTCTTAAGTGAGTTTCATATTACATTGGTTGAGTTTGGGACGCGTGGCAGTTGCCCGTGCTTAATGATTTCATTTTAAGAGGTTAAGTTCGAACTTCAATTTTGAAGTTAATATCTGGCCAAGGTATCGATCATTTAATATGTTTGTAAAGTTTCTATGTATTGAGTCGTAGTTTAAATAATTCGTTCTATCGCGTACAATTCCGATATGATTAGTTACATTCCTTTGTTGATCTACTTGTAGTTTTACGGATAAGTCAGAGATAGTCAAGATTGACGAGATATATGAATAAAGATCGATCCAGTAAAGCAGTCCTGTCATAGTTTGCCTAGAAAAGGCCACAGTAAAACTTTTCCTTCAAGTGACTTGACCATCAGACAGAAAAATACCCGATATTTTCGAGATGAGTGTATTTGTCCAACAAGAGTTTGAACTTGAAAACTGAGAAACAACGCGTGGTCGATCTGAAATTATAACATGAGTAAAGAGTCCGCGAAATCCGATACTGACGCGATGAATCACGTGCATGAGAAACAAGGAATCGTGCAAGACAACGAAGAAAACGAAAGCGAGACAGCGAGAACAAGGAAACAAACGGAAAAGGGGTCCGAATATTTTCGCGATATTAAAGAAAAAAAATACCGCAAAAATACTAAAGAACTGCAAAAAAAGAATGGATGAACTAGACAAGACATGGACAGACATCAGTGTATGGAGCTCGATTACCGCCAAAAATCGAATTTCGTATTTTACACGGTACTTTTGTTATTACTCTCTAATTTTCTTGTTCAACATACAACTTYGTATATCCTAGTTCCAGCTGTTGGATTTCGACATTTAAGTTCGCAATTTTAACACTGAACACTTCGTACTTTTCACGCTCTAAATGTGACGTTTTTCTATTCGTCATTGAAGTTTCTATTTCGCTTCCAACCGCAATCCTCAAGAGTACCGACAATGCGGGCTCAAGTCTTATTTTACCCCTCTCCCCTGAGTAGCCAGCAAAAATATTCACCTGGGAGGGTAGAATAAATTGACAGCACCCGACCCAAGAAGGTGGAAAGATTTGCTCAACAGATTCATTCCCTCCCCGAGTGGTCAGCCAGGTCAGCCAGTAGAGAACTAGAGATGGCGAGTGGTGAAACAAGCTTGAATGAAGTAAGGTTGACTTTTTTGAGAGTCGCCCAATGACTTTCAAATATACAGAGCTCTTCAGGTTCTCCATCTTCAAGTAAGTTTTCTTGTTTTCTCTCATTTTACGATGCGCAATTCTTTAAGGTTAAAATAGCGACCACGTGTCCGAGCTACCTCGTTGACCCAACGCTTCTATAGTTCAGGTTTTTTTCTTAAATATTATTACATAAATCACCATAATGAATTAAGAATTGTAAATTTTAGAATTTTTTACTTCTTTATTTTAATAACCAAAAAAATGTATTTGTGTTTTACGTCGTTTTCGAATAGTGCCGCTACGACCTACCATGCTCTCTACAGGCMGTCCATTTTATTGTGGATTTCATAAAGCAGTGTGATCTAATTTATTCAAACAAATGCTTTGGGAATAAATTATTTAAAAAAAAGAAAAAAAAAGAAAAAAGGATTCTAATAATATATATCAATAAGATATACGATCTTCGAATGAGAGCAGTAATAGATTTGTTGTTGAGATATTTCAGCAGCACCCACGTAAGCAACTAAAAGTATTTGCTAACACGCATTCACATTTTCCCCAAAATTTGTAGTCCTGATTTCGGAAATGACAATTTTTCCCGCATTTTTTGGATATCTTCAAGAGAGTCGCATTATAGATGGATTTTAAAATTTGTATGGCAACGTTAACCAATTGTTTCATAACAAAGCATATTGCTGATTTTGCCGCAGGATTTGACCCTACTGTGACAAGTTGCTGTGTGACTGTGACGTGTACACAGTTGAGCAACACGTACTTATATAGATATAGCGCTCGTGCTTATCAGTGTCTTGTGATCTTGTGTTTAACTGTATGTAAGAGTTCATAATAAAGCATTTACTGTATACACACTGTATGTTGAGGCCACTAGCTCAACAGTATAGAATTCCTGTTTTCCCGCCGTTTTGTGCTGTGTGAGTCCGCTAACCAGTTAATGTCGCTGTCGCGTCACGTCGTGTGCACGTTGTCATTTGTAGTGTTAGTGTAATGTGATCATCAGCTTCATGTGTTATGTTCTCGTGCAGTGTG